ACCCCGGCCGGATGCCCGCGGTGGGGTCCGGCGGACGGAGCCGGGTAACGCACACAGAGGTATCGGCCGGTTCCAGTTCTATTGGAGATTTCCTTGGATTATTTAATTCTGTAAATAAAAAAGTTAGACACCTTGTTTCATATGCATTTTTTTTTCCCAACAGCAGCCCGAAGCGCCCCCGCTGAGGTCTGTAGTGCTGCAGCACGCCGCGTTTCACAGCACAGTATTTGATGTCTCTTTCCAATCTTCGAATCGAGGTTATAGTTTCTGCTGACTTTGGCAGTTGGTGTTAGAAATTCCCCAAGGCTGCCAGTTATTCCAGCAGGGCACTGAAGTGCTAGGAAAGCACTTCCAAATGTTGCTGTTAATGGTTATAAAAAGGTACTGGAAAAATGGGCACACTTCTGCCCATCCCCACCAGGCTCTTGCCTTGCCTTACAGCCTCCACCCTTGCTCAGACTCAGCCCTTGTCTAAGCCCTCCCCTCACTGCAGAAAACACCTGACTGGTCTGAGGCTTGTCGGAGGTTGTCCAGGACTTGTCACAAGGCTTTTCCGACTGTGGGAGGCTCAAAATCGGCATCAGTCTTCACGTAGAAGTGTCCAAGTGTCAGGAAAAAAGCTGACAGTCAAGTATTGAAGGCGATAATACCGAGCACAGGAAGAACGAGCTATCAGCAACCGTCTTGAAAGGCCGGGATCCCGCTGCAGTTCTCTGCCCCCGCAGTCCCTGAGCTGGACCGAGGGCTTGTGAGCCCATCGCTACCAGTCTGGATGCGTCCCCTAAAGCAAAAGCTTCCCGTCCGCAGCCTGAGGAACCCACAAAGCCATCAGGCAGCACAAAGGCTCCACAAGGTGCGGGCGGGCACACAGCCTGCAGAACCATCTCGCCAGAACAAAGGGTTAAGAGGAACGTGGCTTTCTGTAGCAGGATGCTGTCTCCAGCCGAAACCACGTGCTTCGGACTCAATGCCCATGCAGGGAAAAGGCACAAAGGGCCAGCAATGCCTCATTTTTCCTGGGTTTGATCTCGGCCCTGAGGATTCAGCCAACATGGATTCACAGCCGCCAAGCCGGCGAGCTGCGACAGCCTCTCTCCGGAGGACACACAACAGGGGGGGACCGCCCAGGGATCAGAACGTGATCCCCAACTTCTGCTGACACAACGGGAACCTTTTAATGTGAAGAGCTGCGAGCTGAGCTGCTGGAAGCTGCTGCCCAGCCAGCCACAGCTGCCCGGACGCGAGGCAAAGAGCAGGCAGAGGAATGGAAATGGCTTGAGCCTGCCCGGGGCGTGGGGCAGGTTCGTGTGTGCTGTGACAGCTCCACACGGTGTGCGAGGGGACAGGAGCACCTCTGGGGACTCCAGGCAGGGCAGCTGTGCAGTCCTGCAGGTCACTCTGGGGACTGACGATCCCCCCCAGCACAGATCTGCCCCGGACGCGAGGCAAAGAGCAGGCAGAGGAATGGAAATGGCTTGAGCCTGCCCGGGGCGTGGGGCAGGTTCGTGTGTGCTGTGACAGCTCCACACGGTGTGCGAGGGGACAGGAGCACCTCTGGGGACTCCAGGCAGGGCAGCTGTGCAGTCCTGCAGGTCACTCTGGGGACTGACGATCCCCCCCAGCACAGATCTGCCTGCTTGCCCCACTCCACCAACTGAGCACCAACAAATTTGTTGCAGGCATGGCTGTAACTGGAAGCAGCGTTTGTGCTGAAAAACGCAGCTCTTTGGTATGAGGCTCCTTTAAGGGAGTTGCAGGAAGGAATTGAAAAAAAAAAAGGGGGGGAAAAAAAAAAAATAAAAAAGAGAAGTGGGGTGGTTACCAAAGCTGCTAACCACAGTGCCAGGGAGCCTCGGAGGGCACCAGGACAGCCCCGCGTCACAGGCCCGACGCAGCCTGCCTCCAGACTTCCTCACCCGCGATGTAGGTGGCTTGCACGTACAGCCCATCATTCAGCATCAGGAAATCTGCATCGGACAAGAGAGAAGGAAGCGGCCGTCAGATAACGGGAGCAGCTGAAGCTGGCTGGGAGGAGCTGGGCTCTGTGGGGAAGAGCTTCCCCCCACCAGAGACAGCCGCAGGACAGCAGTGCGGGGCCGTCCTTGCCACGGTGGCTCTGCTCCATGCTTGGCTGAGATGGGGGGGTGTCTCTCCAAAGGGCTCATGAAAAACCTCCAGCATCCAAGAGAAAAAACACTGGAGCAAAAGACTGGAGCAAATCCCAGGGAGCGCGAATCTCCCTGCAGCTCCCACGGAAGCAGGGGATGAAGATGCGTTCGCAGCAGCCCCTGCTTTGCTCCAGCACCCGGGAGCCCTCACGCTGTCATCCCCAAACCAGTACCTGCCGTCCCCATACCAGTACCTGCGTCGGAGTCATAATCTAGTGTCCCTTTTTTGTGTTCAATCCCCAGGAGCTGGGCGGGATGCAGAGACGCTGCCTCCAACGCGGTCTCTACCGAGCACCCTTGGACAGAGAAGGGGGAGGCGTTAGGGCAGCAAACAGCCCCATTGCCAGAGCAGCCCAAACCCCCTGGCTAAGGCAGCTGCCAGCCCGGCAGGGACCCGAACCGGAACACCCTCACCACAGCCGTATGGAGCTGGGGAGGAGAAACTTCCCTGCGGGGGGCAGTGGGAAGAGAACTGAACACCTGGGGTATGGGGAGGGGAAAATCGTTCACCTTTGTGAGAAAAGAGCAGGAGAGTTCACCTCTCGTTAGTGCTATGGGTTAAAATGAAACCTCCCCTCAAAAAGTTGCTCATCCGAGGCCAGTGCCGCTGATCCCAGCCCTTCTCATCATGTCTCGGGCAAGAGGGAACGTTCCCTGGTAGAGCGGACACAGCTGGCAAGAGCGAGACCTCTTCCCGCGTCAAACGTAGGGAGCCACAGCTTGTGGACGAGGCTCGCTTACCTGTGGCTTCCTGGAAGTGTCGCACACACGTGTCCATGGTCGCCACGCTGCCGCTCAGGGTCTTCGTGCCTGGGAGAGGAACGGGATGGCTCTGAGCAGGTCCCACAGGCAAGGAGAAGGGGGCAGTGGGGAGGTGTAACGTGACCAAAAGGGGTAGAAATCCTGGGTCGCGAGAGGAGTGAGTTGAAGGGCCCGCGGCTGCGAGCGACAGAGCGAGGCGGGAGGGCGCCCGTGCTGCAGGGCAGGGAGAGGTCCCGGGGGTCTGCCTGCAGCTCCAGCCTAAGACCAGCCAGAGCGGGTGAAACTCCAGCTCACAACGCAGGCCCTGCTGCCAGGACAGAGGAAGGGAACGGAGAAAGGAATGATCCTTCCTCGAACTATCTTCCCAGTCTCCAACTGCTTGCAGTTCAGGGAAATTTGTTAGCAAGAAGGGGTGGTGGTAAAGACGAGGGACCCCACTGGAACCTCTAGCACCCGTGACATTAGGCAGCAAGGGGTTGGGGACAGCTAAAAATTGACAGATTCCTCCTCGCTCCACCGAGACGGGGCAATCCCTCTCTTCACGAGGTGCCTCATTTTCCCCAGGGCCCAGTCGCTGTGACCCGTTACCCGATGGGCACCAGAACCCACGAGGGTGGCACAGCCACAGGCACCGCCAGGCGTGCCGAGCTCTCTGGGAACGGACGCGAGCGGCAGCGCTGCCCCAGCTCTTTTGCAGGACGGCACCTACCTGCAATGTAGGTGTTCAGCCCATCGATCTCCACCACCTGCTGACCCAGCGTGTGCCGGCCTGGGGCCAGCCCCATGCCAGCGATCGCATCCGTCACCAGCACCAGGCCTGAGGAACGCGAGGGAAGAGGCTGCGTTAGCTTTGCCGCTGACCTTGCTGCAGCTCCCCCCCACCCTGGTCCTCCCAGAGAGGGGCCACCGCC